ATTACAGTGATCGATTACTTACGAAAGTCAGTTTTCAACCTCGTTCGGTAACTATATCATCTTTCATAGAAATATAAAGTGTACCGATACTTATATCGTAAGTAACTATTTCCAAACTATTGTAAATATTTTAAATAAGTATTACTTACTGCATCTGTCTGTAACTCTCTAACCAAAAACTGAGGATACATATGTATTTTTTTACATAGACAATATAATAAAAGTGAATAGTGAAAGAGATAAATAATAATAACAAAATTTTCCCTATGTTATAATCATAATTTATCATTTTGAAACAATTAATTTTATTTAGAATTAAACTGAAATCAGACAGAAGTGCCATTTAATTACAAATTAAAATTTAATTGCAATTTAATATTCTGTAAATTTGCAAAATCGCAAATATTCGTTAATAAATATAAACTTCTTTATTTAAAATTGTTATTGATCATTTGAATGTACAATAATTAGTTGCAATAAAGTCTAGTGATATTTTCACACATTTTAGTTTCGATTTTTTGGCTAGAATGATTGAAAATAAAATTACTTCATTATCACCTAATCTTAAATTATTATAATTTTATTTATTAAAATATGCGTTACGTACAGTAGTACAGTAGTATTGAGTATTTCCGGTTTGTAAGTGAATAAAAATCAAAAATGTGAATTAAAATTTTTACTTGTTATTGTTCCAAAGTAAACAAATTTAAGTGGAAATAATTAGATTACTACCTACGTCAGTAACAATTGTTTGATTATTAATTGTTATTTGTGGTTACTACTTGTCCTAGTAAAATAAAAAATGCAATACCTCAAAAAAATAAAATACATACTATAAAAAATTAAATTTACGGTTCAAAATCTATAAACAGCAGATAAACCACAACACGGCTTTACACATATCCTTTCATTTAATCTACGATAAGTTTAGAGTTGGATTAAGACTACTTATATATTCTTTCTCAACGTACAGGCAATTTTTGCCTTAAATCCTGTGTAATATAATTTTTAATTATGAAGAGTAACAAAAAATACCTTTGCGAAAAACAAAGGCTTAAAATGTGCAAACCGAAATTGAATTTTTAATATTTACCAAAGCAACAATAGAAGATTTTTTGTTTGTCAAATACACAAACTCACCACCGCCGTTTCGGTAACACAAATAAGGAAACCTCCACACATTCCCTAAGCCAATGGCGTATCCCAAACAGGACAAAACGAACTCCAAGGGTTTGTTCCAAGTGGAGCGTTCAAGAATTTCCTCCTGAAAAAATGACCAAACGCAAATAATTTCTCGCACTTGCTAAAATACACACGTGTTCACCGGTCGCCATTATTTCACTACATTTAAATAACCCAGATAGATTTTTTGAAGAAGAGTAACTGGAGGTTGAGTCAATGACATTAGCACTGATTCAGGAAATGTAAATGCGGGTCCTCGATAAGACAATTTTTAATTATTATTAATAATTTCAAAGTTTTGTTCGCGTTTTGAATTGAATCTCGGCGAGAAGGGCAATTAATCAAAGCGTCCCCCCTATTCGCGCAAAGAAACTCGCTAAATTTACAATATTCCGACTTTAATTATGCTGTTTGTGAAATAAAATAATTCAATTACACTTTCCGAAACACTCTTAATAAATCAACGTTTAACAGACGGGAGTTTTCTCCAAATTAAATTTGCGTTTTCGTGGATTTGGGTAGCAATAGCGCAATGGAAATTTTCCCTTTGTTGATGGTCTTGAGCTAAACGTAACCTTGGAGAAACGATAAAACTGTTATTAGAAACGACATTATTCACCTCATATTTAAATAATGGAAAACACTAATAAAATTACTCAAACATGACTTACTTTAACTTCGGACATTTTCACACGCTGGATTAGAAATGTTTGACCAAAGCAGTTTTTTTTTTCTTTTAAACGTCACTCAAATTGTAAAGATAACACAATCTACCATTTGTTTTTATTACGTGATAAGCGCATTGTGTGATAATTTACAAAATTGTTTTTTATTTTTTGGAATGTAACAAATTTTTAGGGTTTCACTAATAATAAATGTAACTTTATTCCACAATCCATCATTTTTGAACACCTAAAATCTGCAATTTTTGTAAATTCAAGCTTTCTGTTTACTAAAACTTATTATTTTGAACGGGTAAACTGTTTCATCTTAGTACAGTGTGTGCCGGATAGGTGAAACGACTCTGAAAAATTCTCGATTTGAATTTTCGTTTTTTGGGTTTCAGCCCTGCTTGATCTAATACTAATTTTTGGAAATTCTTAAAAAAAAACTACTTTTATGCAGAATAAATTGCCTTTTGTGTGGCAAATACGACAAATATACTATATGCAATGGATAGTAGAATTCTCAAGGTCACAATTTACGAGTGTACTCAACTTTTATGCACAACGAAGTAACCTTGACAAATGCACTGATCACTTTTGACAGCATTTTGACATTTACTGACAATCTACGAACAGCTGGTGTTTTAATTAGTAAATCTTGAGTTTATTTATTTAAATTGATTTTAATGTGCTCGTTAGCGGAAACCGAAGGGACTACAATACATCCTATTTGATTTGGATATTTAAAATAATCCAAAACATGAGTGTTTGAATAGTATTTGAACGAGTTTTATTGAGCTCCAATTTTGGTTAAATAACTCAAAGGTATAAGAAAAATACTTTTATTTTCAAGAATTTACTCATAACAGGTAATTGCAAATCTATCAGAAATGATCAACTCAAATAGAAGCATCTGCAGGCAACGTCAGTAGAATCTGGAAATTTTATCCAACAATATTCGTTCTTGCTCAAAACCAAAGAAAGGATCAACTTGGGTTTGCTTCCCCCTAAATAGGTCGGTTTGTGACCTTATTCATAGGAGCAAAATTTTCTTTTAAATGATTTTATGAACTGCAGAACTATCGTCAATAAAGAATTATTATGCTAATCCTCCAACATACCAACACCAAAACACGTTGTATCACAAACTCCTATCACTGAAGCACAAAACTAAATTTGTGATTGTTAACTATTAATCCTTAACAAACCTTTGAAATTTACCAAAAGGTAATAAAACAATCTTGTTATCCAGTATAAGTCAAATATCTACGAAATATTTGGAGGGTTTTCCGATTTTTAGTCAATCAACTAAACCACTGCACCACTAAGGGTTTCCTTGAGGCAACTGCGTTTCAGTTGGAAACAATAAGTTGTGAGGCACATTACCCTTGTACAAGGTGCAATTGTTTCATAACAATTTTGTTAATTAAAACTATGGGTGTGGCTAAAATGTTTATTATTATCAATAATGATCTTTGATTTATTAAGAAGAACCAACCTTTTGTGCAACATTCAAAAGTTTTATTTGTATATTGATAACTGCCACAAACACCATGAACATGATTAACAGATTCTAATAATATGCTTTTCTTCTTACAAATCTTTCATATCAGAGGTTTGATCAACGTTTTGAACAAAATTCTTGGACTTGGGTTTGGTYTTCCCAACTTTTAACTTGATAGACACTTTTTTATCAGAGGTAATCGGAGTTATTCACTGTTGTTTTTTCAAAAACAAGCTTCGGCTTAAAATGTATTTTATTACTTGAATGTTCTGAATAAAGCACGCGATTGTGCCTTAAAATTTTGTTAAACCCCAAAACCATCGTACATAATCTTTAATTTCAATGTGACAAAAAAAAACAGCACTGCCACCTTTAAAAAATAAAATAAAAAATCATGGCTACGAGAGTCAACACAACTTTGGTAAAACCGCTAAAAACCCTGTTTATCAAATTCTACTATCAACTGAAATAGATTGTAGTTATTAAGAAAAGTTCAAAAAAATTTTCAAACCTAATCGGCCAACTATGTTTTTTAATTTTTTTATATTTATTAATTCACAAATCAAAGAATTTTATTTTAAGTTTTTATATTACGAATAAAAAAATATATTTAGATTATTAAGTAGTACTACTTAAATAAATTTTTACGTTTATGTTAATAAAATGATAACAGAAAAAAAGTTAAAAATTATACTTTACCCATGAATTTGAAACTTGGTATAGGGGCTTAGATGTTGATTTTGAACAGCTTTTTTTAAGAACCTTTTGTCGTATTTGCTACATAAAAGAGACTTTACTCGACAAAAATAGTTTTTTTGAAAATTTCCAAGGCATATTTAATTTTTTTAAATTAAAATTAGTGTTTAATTAACTAGGGCTGAACCCTAAAAAATAAAAATTTTAATTGAGAATTTTTAAGTGTCGTTTCATCTTTCCGGGACATACTGTATACGTAGCGAATTATTCTAAATTACGAATAAATGAAAAAGAAAGTAATTTTTAAGAAGTTGTAAGATAAAGCTTTTTTTTTCAAAAAAAAATACACATTTCTAAAACAAAAATAAAAACTTCGAAAAAGTAAAATTGTAATTAAAAAGAAAACGCTTCATTCCACACTTATTTCACGTAATAGTATTTTACATACCAAGGTGGAAAGTGTTACATTTCTGTCGAGAGATTAGACAGTTTAATTTCATTTCAGACAGAAATGAAACTTTCCAACGAAGTGTGTACACAATTTTAGTTACAAACGCATTTTTAATTGACACTAATGTAAATGCGTTTAATTGTAATAAATGTGGGATTAGAAAACGACGTTAGTAATAGAGGTAGGTAAAAGAAAGAAGAATTGGACACTTTCCAATCATTATCAAGGTTAGAAATGTCAACATTACATACTCGCTTGTGAATAGAAATGGTTTTTTGACTGATGGGTTAATTGTTAATTACTGATTAGACATTTTAACTAAGTCCAATCTAATAAATTTGATGTAAATATTTCATTAAATTTTAGTTTTTTAGTTATAAAAAATAATTATTATTGTGGTTTTAAGATTCGCAGTTTTTTTAGTTCTTTTTACTTTTCGTTGGTAAACAGTTTATAACTATAACTAATAAACTTTATAACTATGCTAACTAGAGACACTTTATTGCATCTTAAAACACTTTTTTACTTTTATTTTTCAAACAACCCAAGTGATAAATTTATAAAAAGTATACAAAACTAGAAATATAAATCCGTAGTGAATCACAAACAGGGCAAAAAGTCGCTTTCTGGCTCTTGGCACCGTTTCCAGAGGATCCTTCATCAAGTGTATGCGGCCTCCGACGACACAATTTTCACCATAATTTTCCCACTCGAGTTTTTCCATATCGAAATTAAAATATCTGCGATCGTTATTCGACATTTTCATCCAGAGTTTTCTTACATTTTCATCCGAAAATTTCCATGAACGTAACGTGAAATATGATAAACAGTCAGTGAGTTCTCCAATTTTTTTATATTTTTTGACAGCACTGTAAAGAGTTTGTTTTCAAAAAAGTGATATGTACTAAATTGGACTTACATTCGTTTTTTGCCCAAAAGGTAGAAAATCGCGTCGATGAAATATGCGTACAGAGTGTGCGAGAAAAATACCCTAATTTTGTGAACTGCAGTGTTGGGAGTTACTGAGAAGTTTGGGTACCAAATTGCGTTACTCATAGGATACTTGAAGGCATAATTTGATAGTTTGTCTACAACAACACCTAAAATTTTTTTAATTAAACTCAATTAAATTTATTTCAATGAAAACGTACTCCAAGTAATTGGATTTAAATCAGTTCCCACAAAATTGTAAATAATTTTTTTTGATTTTTGGCAGTACCAGCCTGAAGCCAATACTGTATTAACAACAAAGTCAACTGGGACTATATTAGCCCTAAGTTTGGGGTCGATTTGGAGGCTTCTCAAAACGCCCATTGAGACCCCAATTGAGATTCCCACAATTCCTTGAAAATTATCAATCCAACCGGGGATTGGCTCTTGGCATGCAGAACCGACTAGAATTTAGTCTTTTTTTTCACAAGAATTCTAAAATTTTGGACTTACCAATCGCTGGACGAACTATTGAAAATGGGAGAGACTCGTTTTTGAAAAGTTGCTCAGCTAAGGCTTTGCTATAGACATAACAATTGGGCCACTTACCCAAAACACTAAAAATCAAATAAAAAATTGAATTTTCTCAAGTTTTGGACACTCACTGTGGAGTTAGTTGCTCCAAAATGTCGTCATCGAAGCCTTGGACCATTGAAATAATGTCATCAGGATTTACCCCAACATCGTAAAATTCCTCCCCGATTTCGTTTCTAATACAATGCGAGAAAGCAGTTGAGACATAGATAAAACTCTTCAATTTTGGCATATTTCGGGCCAAAATGATCAAATCCCGGACTGCCCTTACATTCGTATAAATCGCACTTTTTAATTTAACATTAAATTTAACAACCGCTGCTGAATGTATAACACACGTCACTTCTTCCAACAAAGCCCGGTCCTGGAAACTCAACCCAAGAAAAGGGGCGCCACAATCCCCATTCAAGATTTGAATTTTTTGACGAAAATCAGGAGTCAGGACTTTCATTTCCTCGAAACACTTAACAAAAAAAATCAATGAGTACAAATGAGATTTTCCTACTTACAGGTTGGTTCAAAAGCGCCTCGAGTCGTTCATGTTGATTTTGACCTTTCTTTGCCCTTAACAAAATGTAAATTTTATTTAAATCCGGGCACGTCCGGAGTAGTTTTTCCAGAATGAGTTTCCCAAGGAAACCTGTGGCACCTGTTAGGAAAATTGTTTGGCCGGTGTAGAAGTCTTGGATGGGTGACATTGTGACGAAAACTGACGAATTTTGGGCATGTTGGGCAAAAATTTAAACTTAATGGGTTTGTAATGGGAGAAACTTGGTTAATTTACTTTTCCAATCATCGCAATTATTGGATTTCTTTTGAGAAACACTAAATTGCAAATTGTATGCATTTTGTGATTTTAATTAATTAAATTTTTAACTTATGCGGATACTAATGTATGAATGTAGTTTCAAAACAAGATTTCAACGTGACTTTATTGTGCTATTGTACTTCACGCTCAATTAAGCATAAAACATTTAACAATTTAATTATAGTATAGTGAATTAAATAATAAATTATGAAATAAATACTGTTTTCAAGCCACAATGAAGTGAATTACTTTTATTTAGCAAAAAAGAAAAATTTTTATTCACTCTTATCACTTTCAGTATAAAACTGTCATTTAAAAAACTTGTATACAGACTAGTTTAAATTACTGAAGTAAGTTAAACGGCTTATTTAAAATAATTATTAATAATTAATTTTTTGATCCTTGAGAAAAATTGATCTTGCAATATTCGTTTGAAATTGTTTAATAGTATATGTCTTGGATGGTAACTTAACAAAATAAAATAACTTAGCAATTGCTTGTTTCACTATAAATTTAATGCTTCAGGATTTTAATTTAATCTTGTCTCAAACCTATGCTAGGTTTAATTCTTCATAATATTAATAATTTATTACCCAGAACTTTTCTAAATATTTTCATGTATTTTGCAAAAATCCAACCATAAGAAATACTAGTAAATAAAAATCTAAAAGATATTCTAAACATAAAAATAAAAATAAAAATTTCAAGTAAGATAAGATACCAGGAACATGAAAAAATGGTTAAAAAATGTTATGTGTCGACAAATTTTAATATTTGACCATTTTTTTATGTCTATTTATTGATACCGACAATTTTGTATATGTTTTCTTTTTATAATTAGTTAGTAAAGGTACAAAAATTTTGCCATTAAAAGCCACAAATAACAGAGTTATACAATTTATAGGATACAGCTTACTTGTTTCTTCTTCTAATAGCCTGTAGCAAAAGAAACTTAGAAAATTGTTTTTCCAACAAAAATAAATAAACAACAAAAATAACTTCGAAATTTTTATAGATAAAATTTTTTAAACATTTTTTACATGTTTCTGGTATCTTACCTTACATGGTATTTTTCTCTGGAGCGCGAGTTCTGCCGCAGCCTGTATAATTATCACTACTATAATATTATTGAATATTTAAACTAAAATAACAAATGAGAATATTATTCATTAATTAATAACAGTTTTCATTATCATTATTAGGTAAAGTATGTTCGTATTTTTTGGGAAAAAATTTGTGTAAAAGAATCTCTTGTAATTCTAAAAATCAAAATAAACTAAAGTTAAGTTTTAAATAATATTAAATATTTACAAAAATACAAAGTGTAAGTATACGAAATATTATTATTTAAAAGAAAGAGAATTTATAGTAGAATATGATGATACAATTACAGTTATTTATTGTAAGACCCGTATGCAATACAACGTTTTATCTACAAGCAGACAATATAGACTAAATCAACATTTTGGAAAATTTTTATTTGACATTATGAAGTGACGTTTGTCAAATTAATTTTTATTCGGAAGTATGCAAGGCTAATCACAGGCTATTAATTTGCTATTTATTTTTCATAAGACTCGTATAACAAAAGCAAATAAGAGTAACATTTAACGATAGAGCAAATTCTTCTTTACGAATACGCAAATTTTAATTTTTTAGTATTATGAATAATAAAGATGTTAGAAAAATTTTAATCAAAGCATGTTTTTCTCAAATGTTTTTATTAGTTGTCACTTGGAATAAAAGTTTTATTCAGAAAAATTCTATCCGTAATAATTTTATAATTATGGAGGCTTCAAATTTGATTAATGACTGACTCTGTAGACAATAATTTAATTTTTATTTTTTTGTAAGTATTTAAAATGTTATCCACTATATACTGTTTTAAGATTTTTGAATGTATTTTTTGTATACGCACTTAAAAGTAGCTACTTTACGGACTCATTTAAGCCATTGAAATGAATTCTTTCCGACCATTTCTGGTACTATAATTATTATTATTTTTAATCTCTATTTTCGAAAATTAATTATACATAATAAAAGGTTTGAATGTGTTTTTGGAAGCTTGAACAAAAAAATGTACGTACCTACAGTAGTGGTCATAAATAAATGGGACAGTGCTTTTTTTCTAGTGTAAACTGGGCTGTGACAGCTACACTTCCTGAAAGTGTTGTAATTTGAATACAAATAAATGATTTTGCAACATAAAACAAAATAATTCAATTTAGATCAAGATTTAATACGATTATTTTAAAATTAGGTACTATTTTTCTAAAGTAACTTTTGTTAATATTAATCTCTCACCACATTCCAATAAAAGTTTTGCATTTTTCCACATTCCAATGGCAACAATACATTTTTGATATTCGAAATTAAATTGCCAAATCGCACAGTAAAAATTAAAATTCCGTGTCCTTTGTGCATTACTTGAAATTAATCCGTGGTTTAATTGGGTCAGCTTCAAGTTCTCGATACTGCATATAAGTACGCAACACCAACCGGTTGTAACATATTGTAAGGTTAATCTCGAAAAGCGCTTCTTACAATCAAACACTCGCACGATGTCTCCCATCCAAGACTTTTACTCTCAGCAGACGATTTTTCTGACCGGAGCCTCCGGTTTCCTCGGCAAACTCATCATCGAAAAAATCCTCCGGAAATGTCCCGACATCGGAAAACTCTACATTTTATTGCGTCCCAAGCACGACCGAGCTTTAGAACAGCGCTTCAACGAGATTTTTTCAAACAGCGTAAGTCCTTTTTCTGTTTTTTTTCCCAAAAATATTATTTTTTTCAGTGTTTTGAGCCATTGAGAGGTCAAAATAAGGACTTTGCGAAGAAGGTGCATATCTTGAGTGGCGATTGCAGCCAGCCTATGCTCGGGATGAGTCCGGAAGCTCAGGAAATCGTCAAACGGGAAGTCACGTGTGTGATCCATGCCGCTGCTAATGTTCGGTTTGATGTTGACCTCAAGACGGCTGTTTTTACCAACGTGAGGTCGGTGAGAGACCTTATGGATATGATGAAGGAGATGGAAAATTTGCGAGCTTTCGTTTATGTGTCGACAGCGTTTTCCCATTGTTATAGGGATAAGATCGACGAGGTGTTTTACGACGTGGATGTTAAGCCGGAAAAATTGCTACAGATTATGGAAGTTATGGACGATCGAACTTTGGAAGTTGTTACGCCGCAGTAAGTGGTGCGGGTGGTGGTGGAGTGGAAAAGTATAAGTGTTTGGTATTAAGACTGAGAAATTATTTGATCAGGGGCATACCAAAACTAAAGTTCAAGTTCACGGTCAAAGTCTGTTTTCTCCTAAAATCGGAAGTTGATGAAATTCATGACTAACACAATGTAATTTAAAAACATACATACAGGGTGTTCCAGCGAGTTAAAAAAGTTCTGACCTGACCTGACCTGACCTTTAAATGGTAAAATTTTAAAAAAATGTATAGAACATACGTCTAAATAAAACGTGTTTTTTCGAAAACAATCACTTTAAAAAAAATTATTACACAAAAACTAAGACAGCTAGAACAAATTTTTTCTTATTTCTGCAAAAAAAAAACTAATAAATTAAGAAGTTTGTTAACAGTAAAATAACTTAAAAAATTTAAATGGATCACCCTATTTTTTTTTGCATGTAATAGATTGATAAATTGTCTATTTAAAAAAATAAACTTTTAATGTCTAGAATTGATAAATGAAAAGATATTTAACATTCAATATTAATTGTAGCAACAATGCCTATCAATATCTGAGCTTTGTTGATAGTATGGCAACTATAGTAATTACACCACGGATCACTTATTCGTTGATTTATCCAGAGATTGTAAAAGTCGTTACAAATACTGAAATTCGAATTATTTTATTGTAAAAATAAAGAATAATGGATTTCGTTTAGCACAAATGTCATTATTAAGTGATATTTCTTCCATCTCTTGTGCATCTGTGCACTTTTTGGTTACTGAAACAATAGTAATTATTTTTTTAATGTGTAACGTTAAATATCTTTTTAGTTATTCATTATAAACACCTAAAAGTAAATAATTTTAAAAAGACAATTTAATAATTCTTTAAATGCAAAAACAATAAATAGGGTGTTCCATTTTAATTTTCTAAGTTATTGAACTTTTAACAAACGCCTTCATTTTTTTATCTTTGCAAATGCAACAGTAAAAAAATGTTCAACTATATAGCTTGTACCTTCTTCTTTGCGGTAGTAAAAAAAATATTTCTAGATGTCTTAGTTTTTGTGTAATATTTTTTTAAAAAGTGCATGTTTTCGTCAAAAAAACCGTTTTATTTTTAAAACTAAGCAGAATCGACCAATAAAAATTTAGCTTAAAAACATTGTTATACAAATTTATATCCAAAAACGCTAAGAAACATATGATGTTTCATTTAAAAAACACAAGTTTGTATTGTAACTTATTTTTGAGACACGCTGTTTAGTTGAAAATAATTTTAGGCGTTGGACTAGATTAGTATCTATCAATGTCCTATACATTTTTTTTAATTTTACCATTTAAAAGTCACTAATGGACTTTTTCAACTCGCTGGGACACCCTATATAAAATTTGAATCTAATAAAGTATAAATCTAAACAAATGTTATAAAAAAGTTAAAAGGCCAGCTAAAATTAAACATAAAAAAATAGTTAGGAATCAGGCACATTTTTTATTGATAATTTGGACCAATATAAAATCAGTAAAAAACCTAACCGAAACCAAAAATTAAATATGATAATTTAGAAGCAAAAGTGTTTTGTTTACTATTTATATTGATGTTACTCTAAAAAAAAAAATAGTGGGTATTAATATTAAAATATTTAATTGTAAAAGGGTAAAAAATCAAAAGAAAATAAAACTATTAAAGTAAGTATTTTTGCATAAAATTTTTAAATTTATACATAACAACTAAACAAATAATAAGGCATTTTAGATGTTGAAACAACCATAACTGAAGATATTTTCTTAATTTGGAAGTTTGTATTTTTCCAACAGAAAAATTCTTAATTAATAACCCAAGAAAAATTAAGAAAATATTGTTAATATAATAAGATTTAAAAAAAAAAACGTTTTCAGATCTGATAATAATGAAAAAATTAATAATAAAATGTGTTAAACGTATACAGAATCAGTGCTCGTTCGAGAAAACTTCAGAAATAAATAAATAATAGAGATGACAATTTTTATTAAAAAAAGACATTTGCCACTGGTTTGGTGGGGTTATTAATGTCTTTTATTTTTTGTTTTCAGTTAATTTGGGTAAGAGAGAAAAAAAGATTTTAATAGAACTTTACGTTATTCACAAAATTATTTTGAGATTCTATTTCTGGTACTGAAATTAGGCTTTTTTTCTTCAATATGAAACAGTCTATACATAGTCAAAATTCTAATTTAACAAATTTAATTATGTTGTCAGTAGATGTACTGGGCGATTTTAAAAGTTGTGCTAAAATTTTAAAAGCTGCAGATCTAAAGAAGGCAAAATGACTCAACTTGTTTTGTTCGAATGTTTGTAGTTTTTGGGATATAGGGGGGTTTAATAGTGGCTGAATAAATTTAAATTTGGCGTATAGTCTTAAGCTTCATCGATAAAAAATGTAAACAAATATGATTTTTGAGGTTTGCGCTTTCAATCTATTACATTGTTTTAAATAAATCGAGTTAAAAATTAACAAAAACAGCCTCAGAAAAAAGTGGTTTCTTATACGAATGTTTACAAAGAGAGTGCAACCTGCATTTTAGCGTTAGAAAATATGTCAAAAGAACGCAATTTAAACGAAGTTTGCATCTTTTGAGTACTTTATTCCAAAGTTTATATTGTTAGTAGTCAGTGAAATTAATTTGAGGAAATGAAATTCGATAGTACATTTTACAAAAAAATAATGCAAGTTTTTTTTTAATTATTTTTTTCATAAGGCAAGTCTAGTTACATTGATTTCTTTAGACCTGTACTATCACCTCTTAAAATTTTAGCACAATTTTTAAAATCACTCT